CCTGAGTTCAAATTTGGTCTCAGACCAGACATTTGACACTTACTAGCTGTGTGACCCTGGGCAAGTCACAACTCCAATTGCCTAAAAAAATAAAAAAAAAATAAAAATAGTGGAACAGAGTAGATAAGGAAGAGTCAGAAACAATTTAACTCAGTGACTGAGCATTCAATAAACCGAAGAACATAAGTGACTTGGAAAACAACTCCTTATCTGAGAACTTTGGGAAAGACTGGAAAATAGATTGGCAGAAATTAGTGTAGACCAACTTCCTATACCTCACACCATTGTAAGAAGAATTGCAAACTACTAACTACTATATTGATTACTCCAAATCAATAATAATAAGAGCAGTGCAGATGGAAACAATTGTGAGGGTTTACTTCATGCCCTGAAAATGGACAAAGATGTCAAAATATGGAAATAGTCAATATTGGAGGGACCATAGAAAGGTAGGCACACCAATACATTTCAAGCAAAGCAGTGAATAGGCTCAAACCATTCTGAAAAGCAATTTGCAACTATGGCAAAAATTGACTAAAATATTCATACTCTATCCACCAAAACTAGTGTGAGCCTACTTTTGAAGATCCAATTGTTAAATTTCAGCATGAGCTTTTACACCTCAGAAATTGGCAACTGCTACAAACAGTGGTTTAATTTTTTTGCTTTGTCTTAAGAATCTGATGGAAAAAATGTTAAGTGTGTAGTGCATACATTGCCTTAGCTATTATTAAACCACCTTACCCCACATTATGACCCAAAGTTACCATTTCTAGGCATGTACCTCAAGGAGGTCAAAGATAGAAAGAGTAATCCAATACATACCCAAATATTTATAGCAATACTTTTTTGTGGCAGTAAGTAACTAGAAACAAAGTAGATGGGGAATGGTAAAACTAATTGTGACCCATGAATGTGATGGAATATTACTGTGCCATAAGAAACAATGAATATGCTGAATTGAGGAAGCAGTATATGAATGGATGCTGAGTAAAGTAAGCAGAAGAAAACAATACACACAAGGATTAGAGCACTGTAAATGTGAAGAAGCAAAAATATGAAGCAGAACCATGGGTAATTACAACGGTAGTCTTCTTTCAGCCGCCCTTTTAGCACAGGTGTCTGAAAGGTGGTCATGGAATGTTCCACATACTGTCAGATGTGGTTGATGTGTTGAGTAGTTTTACAGAACTGATTTCTTTCTTTTAAAAACTTAGTTGTTGTGCATAGAGCACTGGCCTTGGAGTCAGGAGAACCTGAGTTCAAATCTGGCCTCAGACACATGACACTTACTAGCTGTGTGACCCTGGATAGGTCACTTAACCCCATTGCCTAACAAAAACAAACAAACAAAAAAAACCCAACAACAATAAAAACTTAGTTGTTTGAGGGAGTCTGAATGCAGATCAAAGCATATTATTTTTCACTTTCTGTATTGTTTTCATCTTTCCCCCCACTTTGGGTCTGTGTCTTCTTTTACATGACTAAAATAGTCATGTATTTTGCATGATTGAACATATACAACCCATATCAAATTGCTTGCTGTCTCAGGGAGGGAAGAGGTGAGGGAGAGAGAGAGAAAATTTGAAAAAATGAATGTTAAAAATTGTCTTTACATGTAACTGGGGGAAATAAAATATAATTAAAAAATAAACTCAGTTCTGAGGGATGGGTACTGATTAGTGAGTAGGGGGTGGGGAGAGTTATTTGAAAATGAATAGGATGTGAAAACCAGAGGTATTAGTTAAAAAAAAAAGACTAGGAAAATGAAACTCAATGACATATAAGAAAAGATGAAAACTGCTTTTAGGGGGTTCTGTGTTTTTGCTAAAGCAACTGATTGGTGAGACAAGAAGATCATCAGATTTCTTTATTGCCTTCTATCTTTTTGTAATGGAAACCCCCTGGATTTGTAGTCCAAAGATCTGTATATAAATTCTGCCTCTGACACTTTGTGTGACCTTAGGCAAGTCACCAAATACTTTTGAACCTCAACATCCTCATCTGTACAATGGGGAGAATATACCTGCAATAGCTACCTATCTCACAGTATCATTGTCAGGAATGTGTTTTGTGAACTTTAAACTGTGAGTTACTATTGCTATTATTTAGTCAAAAGGCCTAGGTTTAAATCCTAGTTTTGTCATTTGCTGTCTTTATGACCTTGGGCAAGTTACTTTCCCTCTTTAGGCCTCAGTTTCCTTCTCTGTAAAATGAGAGTTAGAAAGATGGTCCCTGAAGCCCCTCTTCTGAATTCCAGGGTCCTCTGTTGGCACCTTGCATACAAGACCTTGTATTGTCTTTTCATCTGTGTTTGACTTGTCTCTTCAGCTAGACTGTGAATTCCTGGAAGGCAGGAGCTCTTTCTCTAATTAAGCTGAGGAAGGCATAGGCGGATGGATGCTTCTACTTTCTCACTCTCCACTCTTTCCTCAACCCCTTGTAATCGGGGATCACTGTATGGGTAGACCAGCTGAGACCTGGCAAAGACTTTAGTTTAAAAAGGCCAAGATCTCCCGCTGCACCACCATTTAGCTTGACCTGTCTTGCCGCTGGAGCACGATGACTTGGGAGGAGAGAGTGAGGCTAACCATTTTGCACAGTGCTGCCTCACTCAAATCCGATTCACTTGCAAGTCAAGACATCACCCTCCCGCTATCATTGGTCCTCCTTGAGAATGAAGGATGCACGAGAACAAAACAAAAACAAAGGTCTGTTATCACCCACTTTTGTCATAATGTCCTCTCCAAAGACTTCCTAATTGCTAAAATCAGCGGTTCGCCCTTACTTTTCAGCCTCAGTCTCTCCAAAACGTTTCACATCATTGACTATCCTCTTCTTTTATGTACTCCTTGTTTGTACAGATCTGTTTGCTTGTTGCCTACCCCATTAGATTGAGAGTTTCTTGAGAGCAGGGTCTGTCTTTTGCCCTTTTCTATATCCCCAGCACTCAGCACAGCGCCTGAACTTAGTCATTAACAAATGTCTTTCATCTTACTGACTGACCTACTCCTCTCAAGGCTTCAGATATACCACACTCTCCTCCTGGTCCGTTTCTCAGCTTCATTTATTCAATTACCAAGCAAATGTTTACTATGTGTCAAGGGCTGGGGATACAAAAACAACTGAGATAGCCCCTGACCTCCTGTAACTTTTACTCTATTGGGGGAGGGGAAAGCATGATTATATGTAGACAAATACAACATTTATAATAGAATAAATGTGAAGTGGTGAGGGAGGGGTGCTACCAAGGAAAGATCATGAAAGGCACTGTATAGGAAGTGATCAAGATGAATCTTGAAAGGAATTAGGGATTCCAAGGTGTAGAGACCACATTCAGAAAATATCAGAATTTTATACTTCCATTTGGTACATTTGTGGGTACTTTTTAAAATTTTGCCTGTGTACTTAAATGTTTGTTTTTTGTTGACAGCTACTAAGTTTATATGTTTAAAATATAAAAGACTGCATAGAAATATGAATGTCATTTTCAAAAATATCCATTTCCTTCCTTTCCTTACCTTACTCAGCAAGATATCCCTTCTAATTAAGATTTAAAATAAAGAAACTGTTAAAATCCACCAACATATTGACATCAGTCTGACAGTGTGTATAATACTCCACACTCATAGACCACCCCCCTTCTAGACAAAGGGTTTACTGTTTATTGTAAAAAAAAAAAATAAACAAATAAACCACCCAACAACAGTGAAGTTAACTTTAACAAGTGATAAAATTATTTTATGTAGTTTTCTGTCTACTTTCTTAGCTTTGCATCATTTTATATAATTCTTCCCACATTCTTCGCATTCTTCTGATTCCATTCCATTCTGTTTATTTAAAAAAAAACAACAACCCACAAAACATTTGTTCAACCATTCTTCAAGTATCAGACCCTTGACTTTAAAATCCAACTCAAATACTACCTCCTCCAGGAAGTCTTTCCTTATCCTCACAGTCAGTGATGACCTTTTCATCTACATATTTTCCTTCTCTGTCAGAATATTTTATATTAGGGGTATCTGTATTTTTTTTTCCTTTTAGCCCCTCTCCCCCCTCAATGTCCTCAAAATCAAGAACTTTGTCTTATCTAATCTTTGATCTCTCCCATTGCTTAGTCTAGGTTCTGTACACTTAATTGATGTCTTTTGAATGGAATTGAATAGAAAAACTTTAGGCTACTGCAGTGCTTAGCACCCAGCTGCTCACCAAATATTTGGTGATTGATTGATGGATGGCCTGATTAGTCATCAGCCAGCTGAGAGTAAGATAGATGCTGGATTAATTAGATCCGGGGTTCTTAACCTTTTCTTTTCTTTGTCAGTCTGAAGTCTTTGCACCCTTTCTCAGAATGTTTTTAAATCCATAAAATGAAATACAAAGGATTATAAGAGAAACTAATTATTTTGAAATACAGTTATCGATATATTTAAAAAGCAAAATCTCTTGTCCCATGTTAAGAACCCTTGACCCAGATTGCAGAGGGGGAAAGAGATGGTCTTGTGGTTGGAGATCTGAAGTGAGAGGGACATTTATGTAGGGGTTTGTAGGGTTCAGAGACGGAAAGGACCTTAGCAGTCAGCTAATCAAAGTCCCTCATTTTACAGAGGAAAAGAAAGCCTAACGAGGGGAAATCACTTGCCCAAGATCACACAGCTAGTGAGGAGCAGACCAGGGGAAATTAAACCCAGGTTTTTTTTATTCTTTTTCTTCATCAGCTGTCCCTGCTCGGGAAGCTTGGGAGGGCAGCCTGGAGAAAGGGAGATGCACCTTTGGGATCTGGGTGGATTGGACAGGTGAGGTTAATTTTGGGCAGGAGTTGGGGGCTCTGCACCCCTCCTCCCGGCTCCAGGCTCACCTTCTCAGTACAGAGCCCGGGCAGCTGCAATGTCTCCCAGGGGCCTTAAGAGGGGAATGCTGAGCTCCTTTCGTCTTCTCCCTGTCGCTTCCTGTCATGCCAGGCTGGAGGAAGTGGGAGGTGGGGCCGGAGTGCTAGCAGCCGCCCCTCAGCTTCAGGGAGCCAGCCAGGCCGGCCCGCAGTGGACAGCGACCGGCCCGGGAGCTGCATCCCCACAGGTAGGGAGGAAGGGGTGCCTGGGTTGAGGCTTCCCCCCTATTCTGCAGACCCAGCGCTCCTGGAGCAAATTGGGAGGGGCCTGGGAAGCAGAGGCTGCCTTCTGTTCTCCATCCTCTCCTCTGGGCTGTGCGGCCTCTGCCTCCCAATGGGCTCTGCTAGGCTGCCTGCTTCCGACTCCCGGGATGCTTCGGGGAGGAAGATGACTGTCTGGAGACTGACTAGGTGCTGGGGTGGTGGACAGAGCCTTGGATCAAGAGTCAGGGGCCCTGTGGTCCCCGATAGGGCGGCAGAGGACCTGGCTTCCCTGCTGTGTGCTATCTGGCTGACCTTGGGACAGGCCCTTTACCTTTTGGTGGTTCAATTTCCTCATCTGTAACATCGAGCGCTTTGACGTCCTTTCATGGTCTTAATCCTGTGATCCTACTAGTTATATCCTGGGACATTGGCCCTGGGAGCAGCTAGGGTCGCCATTTCCAGAATCTCTTAGAGATTGCATGCTGCTGTCTCTTTCTTTTCCCCTTTCTCTCCCCCATCCCCAAACACACACACACACACACACACACACACCACCACCACCACCACCACCATCTCCCCTTTACAGAGGATTGTCTAGTGACAACAATTATACAGGGATCCTCTGTGTAATTTCTACAATCCCCCTCCCCCTTTGCTTATCAACGTCAGCTGGGTGAGATTAAGAAGCCCCCTGAGTTGAACTGGAGACCTTAGCAGGGACTTTGAAAATGAAGCCCCTCATTTTGTGATGTCCAGGGACTTGTCTGAAGTCACACAGTGGCAGAGCTTACATTTGAACCTGGGATGATACAGCAAAAATATATGAAAAAAAATGAAGGCTGAGTTCTGTTCCCTCTCTATTTCTGACCACTAGCCAGGCTTCTTGGCCTACGCTGCCCCTCCCCCCTTACAAACCATCTTCCCTAAAGGCAGTTCCTTGATGTTAACAGAAATGAAGGCGAGTCCTTCAGTTCTGTAAGTGGGGTACTGACACTGACCTGACCATCGCAATGGTTTTGTGACTTTTCTGTGTTGACTTCACTCAGTTATTGTAGTTATGGTATGTATTGCACTTCAGGCGCTGTCTTCTTCATTCTCTCTCCTAATATAATCGTATCCTGTGTTTTCTAAAAATTTCACGTCTGTCATTCCTTCTGACACAGCAATAGACCATTAAATTAATATGTCGTCATCTGTCCAGCAGATCTTCCTTACTGCTTTGCCACTTCTCAGAGAGCGAAACCGACGCAACAGAGTGGAGCTCAGAAGGGACCCGGGTGTTCTGGCTCCTAGCTAGATTGAGGGCATCCTGCTCAATGCCTAGAATGGGGACAGAGGCCATTGTATCCCATTCCTGAAGTACCTGTTTCTCAACTGGGAATTTTCTAATTAGCTAATTCTGATTGCTTTCTTCCCTACTTCCTTCTAGGATTAGGTAAAAACAATAACAACAACAACAAAAATCATCTCTTTCTCCCTGACTTCTGTGGACCTGCGATTTGAAAGTCAATTGCAATACTTAAGAGCTGTCTAACTCTGGGCCAATCGTTTCACTTTGCAGAGCCTCAGTGTCCCACTCTGTAAAATGGGGACAATAAGTACAGCACATTTACCTCAGAGGGTTGCAGTAAGGAGAGAATTCTTATGAACCTTCAAGGACTGTTTTTGTGGTTGCAGGTCCCCCCACCAGTGCCTCTGAAGATGGTGAGGATCTTGGCCAATGGGGACATTGTGCAAGACGATGACCCTCGAGCCAGGGCTAGCACCCCCTTTCGGAACATTGCATCTCGGCAGGTAGGGGATAGGAACTCATGGGCCCCGTCGGAGCTTCTCCTGGTTAAATCTTCCTGACAAACTCTAGAATCTGCACCATATATGTGCCACAGTTGGATACTCCTCTTTTCTAAATTTCATATAGCTATATCTATGTATGGTAGATAGAAAGATGAAGATCTGGATTCAAGTCCTTCTTCAGACATGAAACTATGTAAATCACTTTTCCTCTCTGTAAAGCGAGTATACTGGCCACAGGGGTGTTATCGTGTTCAAATTTATGTTAAATACCTTGTAGATCTTCCAGGACTATATTAAGGCAAGCTGCTGTTAGTTACGATTATTTTACAAAGCTCTTTTCCTACAATAGCCTTGGTTGGGAGGTAGTGTGAATAGCCTTCTCATTTTACAGATAAAGACATAGACTCATAGGAATAGAGTGTCATGCCCAGGATCACCCAGGAAGAGACAATCAGAACTTCGATTCCAACCCAGGGTTCTTTCTACTACCAACCCTCAGTAGCTCCAGCGACCTGACACCCAGACTGGAGAATTGCCCTCATAAATTATAATTTCTTGGACTCCCAAATGTAGCTGGGGACCCTCTCCATGTTTAGCAAACTTCCCCATGATGTCCTTTCCCTTGAGGTAGCATGGCATCATGAATACAAGGCCTTGACACCATGGAAGATCTGTATTTGGCACCTACTGGCCATAGGACCCTGGACAAGTCATCTGACTTTTTAATGCAATTCTCTTAAACTTCAAGTTATAGAGAAGTTGCTAATCTGCCTCTGTGGAAGGCATTTCCACAAGAGATGTTCTCTAGGCAGATATTAAAGGTCTAGAATTAGATTTAAGTGAGAAATTTAAAAAAAATTATAGTGGAATCAAACTGGAGGGGAGTTGGTAGAACCAGGGGAGAAAGAGAAAGCTTTAGCCAGTAACTGTAAAATGATGCACATGTCCCCCTTTCAAAGGAGGGAATACATGAAAGAGGACAGACAGATTGTCAGCTTTGGGACAAGGCACGCTTGTTTTTGCCTGGCTTTGGAATGTGATCAGATGCATCTCTCCTTTCTCAGCCTGAATCTGTCCCTTTCCTGTTCCCAGACCTTCAACAAACACCTTCCATGTGCTCAGCCCTGTGCTAGTTTCTCTGAGGGAGACAAGGAAAAATATGTTTTCCCCGAGAGACTGTACAGGATGCCAGAAGCTTGGATTTCAGCCCCACTTGGGCTGCTCACTGTGTAACCTTTGGCATTATGCTCCCCCTTTCTGGGCTTCTGTTTCCTCATCTGTTTAGGCAGCACAGCACAGTGGGAGGTGTGCTGGACTTGGAGTCAAGCAGACCCATATTCTAATCTTGCTGGTGATACTTATTAGCTGCTGGGCAATGGAGATAATACTTGCATTGCAGGTTGTTGCAAGGCTCAGATGAGATAATACATATAAAGGGCTTAAAGTACATCAACTATTATCTTTGTTGTAATAATAATAGCTAACATTTACATAGCACTTTAAGGTTTACTGAGTGCTTTACAAATATGATCTCATTTCATCTTCACAACAACCCTGGGAGGTAGGGGCTATTATTAATCCCATTTTGCAAATGAGGAAACTGAAGCTGGCAGAGTTTAAGTGACTTGCCCAGGGTCATACAGCTAGTAAGTACAATGGCAGAATTCAAATTCCTGACTTTCAGGTCAATGCTCTTTTCAGGGTTCCACTTAGCTGCCTTCATTCCTCTTTTGGTTTGATGGAGTTCTGGTAATGATTTGTCTAAGGACCATTTCTATCCTCCTATTATCTTTTAATCTAAGATGTTTTTCTGACTATTGTGTAGGCATCATTATTATTATTCGCTAAGGTTTCTATTGGTTCTGAATCTGTGATCTTATGATTTATTTCAAGGAACTTGTGTTCTACTTGGGATTCTGAGCAATGACCTAGTGTGGCTGAAGCGGGAGGAGTCAGCACTGTCACAGATGTAACAGCTGTCTTTGCCCAATTGGCTGTTTTGGATAAATATTGGTCATAGGAAGTGGCTCCCGGTCTGGTCTCTCAGCTCCTTTGAAAAGCTCCTGGGGGGCAGATTCCATAGAACACCTGTTCTCCGTGGTGCCTCCCTCCTCAGAATTCCACCAGACTCCTTGGAGTTCTCTTAGTGTTGGAAGAGACCTCAGAGGCCATTTTACAGATGAGGAAACAGGCCCACGGAGGTTTAGTCACATGCAGACAATCAGTTGCCAAGCCAGTATTCAAACCTTCTCAGGTCTTCTTACTCTACACCTATTGTCCTATCTACTTCTCCTTTTTTTTTTCTCTTCCTCTGCAGAACTTTTTCACAAGAGAAGGCCAACCTCATGGGGGCCCTGCCCCAAACATCCATCACTTGGGGCCCAGGCAAGGTGCCCATCGCTCCCCATTCTCTGACATCAACCAGCAGCTGGTGAACCTGGGCTTTCCCCTGTGGCACTTGGGGGACCAGGTGGTGGAGCCTGTGATGTCCATCCTGCTGCTTTTCTTGGTCATGATGCTGGGAGTTCGTGGGCTGCTGCTGGTGGGCCTGGTCTACATGGTGTCCCAGCTGAGCCTTCGATGACCCTGGGGAGGGGAAGGGGGGGGGAACTCCTGGGAGAGGTGTGTGTGTGTGTGTGCGTGTGTGCGTGTGTACATGAATAAGGAGTGAGGTGTGACTAGCTGGGGGTGAGGGTTGGGCCCTTCCACTGAAGGCCCCTTACCTTTTGGGAAAAGGGCCCCAGGAAACAAGGAAGTGTCTGCTGCTGTCTCCTAGCTCTGCTGGGTATCTGTCCGGAGGCCTTGCCATAAGGGGGGCTTCTCACCCAGGAGGCTTTCAGCTTCTAAGGACCCCAACCCCTTTTTCATCCTTGCAGCTGGAAGACTGTGTTGGAGGAGATGCCCAAATTCTCTCCTCTAGACTTGAGGGAGGCTCCCAGGAATGGGGGCTGGGGCTGGAACCAGTCCTCCAGGCCTGACTTGGGCCTTCTCAAGCCTTTTCTAGCCTGGGGGATTTTCCCTTTTTCCCTATATCTCCAGCAATTCCAAGGAGGAGACCCAGCCCACAGAGTCGGGTTACTGACCAGTGCTAAACCTTGGATGCAGGATACTTGTCTCTAAATGAGACAAAGTTCCTGGAGATGATTTTTAACTGGGCAGGTCCCAGACAGGAGGCACACTGCTTCTTGAGCCTGGGAATGGGGATGGGCCAGAGGGGATGGCTGATTCCTAGGATTATTTTATCTTCCCCTCTCTGATGCTGAACCATGGGACTTTGTATCCCCTTGAATCTGAAAGGGAGAAGGCTTTTTTTTTTTTTTAATTGCAGAGATCTTATCCTGAAAACTCTGGTTAGGCTTAGTGTATAGACAGAACGAAACCTATCTGTGTGTGTTGTGAGGAGTGGAGGGAAGATGGTAGGTATATACTAATGGCATCCATCATTGCCTTGGGACCAAACTACACTCTCTTTAAAGGTTTTTTTTCTAAGATTTTTTTTTGGGCTGAGGAGAGGACAGAGGCAGGTCTACAAGAATCTTAGCTGGACAGATGAGGTCTTAGAGGCCAAGCAGCTCTGGAACCTGTGTGTGTGTGTGTGTGTGTGTGTGTGTGTGTGTGTGTGTGCGTGTGTGCAAATCCAACCCTTTCTTCTGGGCAAGTTTCATGGCCAGGGGCTTCACTAGAGCCTTGTACTCAACTACAGCCCTGGGATGGGAAGTCTGGACCTGCTGTGGGAGGGGCAGACCATGGGGGACCCCAGCTACTGGGGTGGATCACTGATATTCCTGGGATGCTGGGAGAGCTCTCTGTCTGAACATGACTCCTTTCTCAAGGCAAGTCTTTGCTGTATCTTATTTGTAGGCTGGGAGGAAGACATCTTGGGTATGGGACAGATTCCTGATAGTCCCTCACCCCCATAAAATGAGGGAAGTGGGCCCCATCTGGTTCAGACATTCTGTGTGACAAGGATGCTTTTGGCTCTCACTCTCTGATGTGTCCCAAAAGCAAAAGAGAGGAGACAGCCAGAAATTGGGGAGCCCTGGTGAATGAAGTTAAACCTCAAAGATATTGAGGCTGTAAACATTGGTGGACCTGACCTTGAATTAGAAGACTGGAGATCACCTAGTCTGATGGGAACAAAAATGCAAAACCTGGGGTAGGTTTGGGAGGAGGGAGAGGGAGCGGGCTTTATTTCTTTCCATGTCCCTCGGTCTCCACATCCAGATAGAATCCCTGCATTCCAGTGGTGGTCTCCTAGGGCTGTTTCTCTCTTGGATGGAGTAGACCCACGATGCTAGGTTTGCCTGGCAAGGCCAGGGTCTTCCAGGGTGGGCTTGAGGTGCTAATCCTGCCATATAAGGCCAGCTTTGAGGGGTTTCTGTTAATCCTCTGACTAATCCCCCTAAGTGCCCACATTTCCAAGTCAGTTTGGATTTGCAGCCTGGCTGCTCTGGGTTTCAGCCTACCCCTCCTCCAAGTGAGTCATTAACCTTGATTGACTTGGGGTTGGTAACCCTAGGCTGCCCTACCCCAACCTCCTGCTTTTCAGACTCCTGATTGCCCTGCCTGTGGAAGAAGGAATGATCTTTAAGAACGGGATAATGGGATCACCAGAGTTTGAGCTGGAAATGACCTTAGGGAGACTCTGAATGGAGCCCCTCAAAGCTCAAGGATTGAGTGACTTGCCCACACAGCTAGTGAGTGAGCTGGGTTTCTGAATCCAAATGGGGCTCTGAGGCCAGAGCTCTTTCTCATAGCACCAATGTTCCATGGAGAGCATCACCTGGACGTCGAAGAATCTCTAAGAATCTGCCCTTCTGAGTTCATCCCTCTTCTCCCCCCAACCCCCAGCCCTCTGTAGGAGGGATGGATCCCATTCATAGCTGGGAAGACAGGTAGAGGGCAGGAAAGAGATCCACTCAAGGTCAGAGTCCCACAGTTTAATGCTTTGATCAGTGATGGAAGGTAATTTTCTTAGCTGTCACTGCTAAGGAAAGAATCCCAAGTTGAGGTGTTATTGAGGGTCAGGTCTGGAAAGGACCCTACTAGTCCAGTCTACAAATTTCAGAGAGAGAGATCCATCAACAAGCATTTTATTAAACACCTACTGTGTGCCGGGTCCTGGGAATTCAATAGCAAAAGTAAACAATATCGTTCAGTCATTTAAGACTCTTTGTGACCCCATTTTCGGGTTTTCTTGGCAAAGATCCTGGAGTGGTGGTTTGCCATTTCCTTCTCCAGCTCATTTTACAGATGAGGAAACTGAAGCAAACAGAGTTAAGTGACTTGCCCAGGGTCACACAGCTTGTATGTGTCTAAGGCTGGAATTGAACTCTGGTCTTTTGTTCTAGGCCAGCACTCTATCCCCCTGCACCACCTAGCCACCCAAAGTGTAAGATTACAAAGCTGGAAAGGTGCCAGATTGTGAAAGGCTTGAAATGTCAGACAGAGGAATTCATATTTGAGTCCTAGGGGTACTTGGGAGCCACTGAAGTTTGTGGGATAGGGGAGTGATGTGGTCAGACTTTTGGAGGAAACTGAAGCCCAGAGTGGTTCACTGATTTGCCTAAGGCCCCTCAACCACCATCACAGCTAGGACCAAGTTGATCTCCTCCGATACACCAAGCCCAGGGCTCTTTCCACTAGGCTGCCCTATCTTCTACCAGGATTGAATCTCAGTACTAGGGTCGGGGGAAGGAAGTTCCTATGGAGGAGAAAGTTTTCTAGGGGGCTGGGAATTCTCTTAATATAGCAAGAGTCCTTGGATTGTCTACTCCCATCTCTCTGCGTGCCTGAATTCGTTTCATTTCTCTGTAAGCTTCTCTCCACTTCAGCCCCCATATAAGGGGGATCCCATAGTGTGCGGTCCTCCTTGGGAAAAATGTTTATCTGGCCCCTTCCTCCCTTCCCAGTCTTCTTTCATTTACTCCTCCTCCCATACTCTTACACATGGGACAATATTTGTAAAGCACTTAGCACAGTGCCCGGCACATAGTGGACACGGTTCCCTCCGCCTTCCCCACTCTGGTGTGTTCATCGACAGTGGTCGCTTTGCTGTTTGTTGAAGGGGATATTCTATCTCCTGCCCTGGCCGTCTCCCACACCTGGACTGCTCTGCCACCTCACTTCTGCCTCCTAGAGTTCCTTCAAGACTTGGCCCAGATCCCATCTTTTGTTAGTGCCTTCCCACAGAGATTAGTTTTCATTTATACTGTATCTATATTGTTTGTACAAAGTTGTTTGCATGCTCTTCTGAGAGTAGGGTTATGTTTTTTTTTGGCCTTATTTTGTATCCCCAGAGCTTAGGACAGTACCTGGCACACAGTAGGCACTTAATAAATGCTTGTTGGTGATGATAATAAATAATAGAGCTGTTGTTAGTGGCAACTTGTTGCCTTCTCATGGGAGTTTACATTTTAAAAGAGGACTTGGTGAGAGAGCAATGTTTAACTCAAAGGAATGAACCATTAAAGGTAGAATTTTAGATATCACAGGAAGAGTCACTTTTTTTTGTTTTTTGTTTTTCTTTTTGGTGAGACAATTGGGGTTAAGTGTCTTGCCTAGGCTTACACAACTAGTAAATGTCAAGTGTCTAAGGCCATATTTGAACTCAGGTCCTCCTGACTCCAAGGCCGGAGCTCTATCCACTGCGCCACCTAGCTGCCTGAAGAGCTACTGTTTTGACAGGGGTTTCTTAGTGCCCCTCAAATCATCTCCTGTAGATGACCACTTATTGCACTTGAAAATATTTTCTTCATCCATTTTGTTTTTCTAGAGTGGATGCTCAGGCAGATTTTTTTTTTCTTTTTTCAAATACATCTTAAAGATGTCTTTGGGTTTTACATCATTTCCAGGAAACTTTCTATTGTGCTAAAGAGAAAGAATTAAGCAAGAACAGTGCATACAGTGACTTATCTGCTGATACATATACCCCAATGTCTTAGTAGTCCTCTACTTCTTTGCTGAGGGTGGGGAAGTTGATTCCTCTCAAATGAGAATGGATTTCCTTGAGAAGGTTTGGAAACATTCAGTGCAAAGGTTACTATACCAGCCCTGTTGTTAATAGGGAGTCCTTCTTGGACTCTGTTTGGAGGTAGTGTAATAGAGTGAAGAAAAAAAAACAACAACATTGAATTTGGAGTCAGAGGAACTGGGTTCAAATCCTGGAATAGTTGGTGACCTTGGGTAAGTCACTTGACCCAGCTGGACCTTCATGTTCTTATTTGTAAGATGAGAGAGTTGGACTAAAAAATAGTTGTCGGGGCAACTAGGTGGTGCAGTGGATAGAGCACCAGCCATGGAGTCAGGAGGACCTGAGTTCAAATCTGGCCTCAGACACATAACACTCACTAGCTGTGTGACCTTGGGCAAGTCACTTAACCCCATTGCCTAACCAAAAAAAAAAAAAAAGGGGTCTTCAGCAAAATAGCCAGGTTCACCTTGTTCCAAGTCTTAGCTATGCTCATACCCTCACACATAGATCCATTGTTTTTGAATTTTATTTCATTTTAATTAAAAACTTAACCAGATACAGTAAGCATTCCCAAATATAGAGTAGAAGAGAAGATGCAGATGATACATAAAACTATTCATTTCTATTACATATAGTTTACTTTAAAATAATGCTTTAATATTTGCCAAGCATTTTAAATAAATTATCTCATTTGAGACTCACAACAACCCTGTGAGGTAGGTGCTATTATTTTCATTTTACAGATGAAGAATTGAGGCAAGTTAAGTGACTTCTCTAGGGTCACACCATAAGTGTCTGAGGTGAGATTTGAACTTGGGTCTTCCTTATCCCATCCATGTCCAATGATCTCATCCTTTATCCCCCACCTAGATGCCTAGAAAAAAATACTTGGAATTCAACATGCACATAGAATCCCGAGGGACTCCAGAAGGATTTAATCTGAGACCTGAGCAGGAATCCCTTTTATGACCTCCCCAATAAGTTGTCAGTTAGCCTTTACTTGAACACCTTCAATAATGGGGAATTCATTACCTTACAAGTCCACCTGGTGTCCTTTTGGATAGTTTATAGGAAGTTCTTCTTGATATTAAGCAGAACGTACCCTGTTTTCAACTTCTAATTTCTCCTAGATCTGCCTTTTGGAGCTTAGAAGAACAAGGCTAATCTCTCTTCCTCATGAAAATTTTTTTTCAAATAATTAAGGGCCACTTTCTTATCCTACATAAGGCTTCCCTTCTCCAGGCCAGGTATCTCCAGTTCCTTCAACTGGTCTTCAAATGGCATGACATCAAGATGTCTTACCACCCTGGTGACCCTTCTCTAGATGGGCTGCATCTTATGAATGTCCTTCCTAGAGTGTGGTGGGTGCTCAGGACTGACATGTGACCTGAGCCCATCCAAGTTCGGTGGGAACATTGCTTCTCTTTCTGGACACTGTCAGCTCATATTGACCTCACAGGGCACTAAAGTCTCCTTTTAGACACAGACTGGGGTCTAGCCTTCCCTCCCTACTTCCATACTTCTGCAATTGCTTTTTTTTGGACCAAGCATGGGAATTGATTCTTCATGCCTGTGATCTCATGGATGTGGACACTTCCTCCAAAGATATGGATCACTGACCTATCCATGCCCTTTTATGTTTATCCCTATTATTCTGTTTTTTTTTAGCTTTACCCCACCATTCAGCACACTGAAAGCATATGGGTCAATGTGGCCAAGTGAGTGGAAGTATTAGAAACTAGTTCTCCTTTGGTACCTCCTTGCCAAAGATCCAGGGAATGCACCAGACTGGAATCTTATTGGGAAAACCAAGAAGTCATAGTGCCCCAACAGCCACAGGGAGCATCCCAATGCCCAAG